TTCTTCCAAAACGGATCTATTGGTTCTTTTTGGCAGCCCATGGCACTTTCAATATTCTCCTCCAACACCATAACTCAAAAGCATCAATTCTTCTATGATCTTTCTTATTCACTCTTCCTTTATACGAACTTTCTTCATTCCCCCAAAGAGATTCCTATTTATACTCTCACAGAAACTATATTCTCCCTTCAGAGCCATTGTTGTTCTCCAGTGCCGTCAAGAAGGTTCTGACTCATAGTGACCTTCGATAGCAGGGGTAGGGAATGTCTGGCCCAAGGACCTTAAATCATTTGTTATGGCCAAGGTAACCACAGTTCCAGCCATATTAGAAATAAATTAACTAACTGTCTGACCAAATATAGCAGGTTAATTTTCAAGTTGATAATTTTGTGTGGCCCATAAATGGTGTCATAAATTTTGGCAGAAAGACAGGTTCCCCACCCCTGCTGTATACAGTTTCCAAGGAGTGGCTGGTTGGACTTGAACTGCCAATCTTGGTGTTATATCCTACAGTGCATATTCTACAGTGCCACGCCAGCATGACTTACTTAGTTGTGTTACTATACAATTATTTTCTGTCCTCATTAAATTGTCAGCCCCTTGCGAGCAAGGATTATGTTTGTCTGGATCATGACTATAGGTCCAGTGTCTTAGCATGGTGTCTTACACACAGGTGCTCAGTATATACTTGTTAAATAAATAAATGAATGAATCTGGAACAAAAATTGTTACAATTATTTTGAAACGATACTCCTCACAGATAAAGTTCTGCAGACAAAATGGAAGGCAGTCAGATTTGCTGGGCCTACTGGGATAAGGTATGTGATAAGGAGTCATTAAGAAAATATGCAATTGTAGGAAATAAAAATAAGTGCACACAGAACTGATCATATTAACTATTCTGGTTCCATTCTATCTAAAGAAGTATTTTTTAAATATGCAATATTAACCTTAGGAGATAAAAGTGATGCTATAAATTAAATAAAAAAGGCCAACTCCAAACATTTACCAATATACAATATACTGGCACTAGAGGTTCTTGCCTCACATCCAGAGGCTTCCCTCAAATATTCTTCTACTTATAAGGGATAGACACACAAGGAATACAGACTGCTGAATATATCTTATTTACATAACCACTTACTTTGCCAAAATTTCACTTTTGTTTCTTTGATGGATCAAGAAGGATTTCCTCAAAAACAGGATTATAGATTTAGAACACCTTCAAAGTACACACACATTCTCAACCATAAACTTTAAAAAATCTTTTTTCTTTTAGATTTTGGTGAAGATATATACAAAACACATATCCAACAATTTTCCCAAGTGCAGTTCAATGAATGACAAGGGTTTCATAATTCACATATGCTACCAATCTCACTGTCTCTACCCACATTGTTCATCACGCTTAACTTAAACTCTCTGCCCCTTATGTTCTCACTTGTGTTTTAGGGTTACTATTGCAAATTTGATATTACATATAAAACTCTTTAAAAGAGTACAATGCTTAAGACAACATTCTTGCTAAATGGTTATTGACTTTAAAAATGACTTCATGAGATCGTATCAGTCCAAGGTTCAAAAATGGTTTCTAGGCAATCATCCCAGGGGTTTATGTAGTCACAATGGTTTCAGTAAATCTAGTTTCCATGAAAAAAACAAGGTTCTGTTCCACATTTACCTCCTTTTGAACAGAATCCACATATTGGGTCCTTGGTCAAAACATTTAGCAATGGCAACCAGGCATGATTCTCTTTCCTCTGTCAACTATAAACCTTTTAAAATAAAACAACTGAGGGTTGTTGTTAAGTGCCGTCTAGTCGATTCTGACTCAGCGTGACCCTGTATAGGATTTCCAAGGAGCAGCTGGTGGATTTGAACTGCAGTTAGCAGTCCAGTGTTTATCCTACAGCACCACACCAGTTTCAACAGTCGTAAAAGAGAATTTCCTAACTGTTCATTTCTACTGCAAAATCTTCAAAGACTATACATGCAAATGCTTTCTACTGATCTTTTATGGGGTTTGATTTTACCTGGGCCATTAGCTTTTATGGTTCTAATCCAGAAATTGTTCCAACTCCAATACATCGGATTTAAGGGTGAGCTTAGATTAATAAAAATGGAGGTCTCAGGTCAATGAGAGCTGTCAGTGTTTGTGCTTACTCTTCTTTCTGCCTAAACTCGCATCCCTTTGACCCTTCCTTCATTACCTAGCTAAGTTTAACTCACCCTTAGACCTCAGTTTGCTACGTGCGGTAGCTCCATAGTATAAGCACTGGACTGCCAACAACAAGGTCGGTGCTTTGAGTTCACTAGTCGCTCCACGGGAGGCAGTTGAGACTTGCTGCTCCCGCAAAGATCTACAGCCTAGAAGACCCTATAAAGGGTTGTGATGAGTCATAACTGACTGACTTGATGGCACTTAACAGAACTCAGCTTAAATATCACTTGATCTGGAAGGCTTGTCCTGTGCTTCAACAAGCACATCAGAAGCCCTTGTTGACTGATGCCACTGTATCCTGTACTTTCCTATAATTGTGCTTACCACTCTTTATTATCCTTACTGCATAAATGTCTGAATTGCTAGATGACCCTAAGTTCTGTGAAGGCAAGGGTAGTGTTTATTTCTTAACCAGTGCACTAGCATGTGACTGATACTTAGAACTCAATATAAGAGAAAGAGAATGAAGACATTTTTACCTGAGCATTCGGTGTAGTTTATGAGGTGTCATTCCACATCCATCATCAGTAAAGGTTAAACAAGATTTATTCTTGACCTCCTCAACATCTATAAAGACGGTCCTGGCAGATACATCTGGATCTACAGCATTATCTGCAAAAGGTAGAAATCTGTGATATTAGATCTCATTTTCAAACACAGGTTTCCTTCACTATCTGAAAGTAAAGCGTTCCTGTGAAACCTTTTGTAAGCCAAAATGGCACAAAGCGAAGAAAGAGTTACCATTAATTTATATGAGAAAAATTTGAGTGTTCCCAGACCCCAAAAATAATCTGCCGAACCATACCAAAGAACTCATGAAATGTAACCTAACATATAGTGTTTTCAGACAGAGTTGAAAGCTAAGGCATTTTGATGCTAATAAGTTGAGTATAATAACGAGGGAAGGAGCTCAGGGTTCACGCTGACTCTTTAACAAACACTGTTGAACAAACACCACTGAGCCCTAGTTTCACTTTTCACCATTTTTCTAAGAGCAAAAATCCTCTTTGGACTTTTTTCAGTTAGCAAAAACAGGTACTAATCTAGGTCTTTCATGTAAGTGATGTGAACTTTCAAAAAGCAGGGGATATCTGTATTCTATCAAAATCTCTAGTGAAAGGCCTCTAAGATGTGGAGCCATCATCCTTTGTTCCTCTCACACAGATGCCCCAGAAGGTAGGTATTGAGCACTGATGGTAGTGCACTCCCTGGGTTCTAGGAAACAATCCATCCCGTGGCAGATGGGGTTATGAAGGTGATTTCCAAATTATATGTAATGACTGGTCTGCAACCTGCCTTTCTCCCCTCAAACTGTACAGGATGTGGGAAAAGTGACTATCCATATGTATCATAAATTTTGTTCCTTTTTCTTATTGTCTATTAGCCACTTTACTGCTCATACATATATATAAACAGCAAAAGGTGGTGAAGGAGAAAAGTTGAAACTGCAAGTATGCTACACATAGATGCACATTAACACATATAGCAGTTTATTTATGGTCATTTTATTTTCTGCTTTCAAGACATCGCCTCCTGTTAAAGACCAGGGATTGCATGACCATCCCTCCCTGTGAAGGAGGTTAAACCCAAACACTGCAATGCCTGCCTAGATCCCAGGAAAGGTAGCAAGACTGCTTAGAGAAAAAGGAGTGACTGTTTAGGTACTTTCTAATAATCGTAAAGGTGAGCCTGTCTATCCCTGCTATGATATGGAGAGCACAGAATTCAAAAGAGAAAAACAGAAAGTCTCATGATTTCTCTGGAGTCAGGTCTTCACAATGGATTAATTATTGAAGACTCCAGAGACATCAAACATAGTCATAGTCTAACAAACCATCATGTCCAAAACTGCCTAGTGGCCACATCTTTTTTGTCCCAGGCCCAAGTCTACATAATTTTCAATCACTGACATACGTAGCTCTAAAGGCTCTGTTGGGCCAACTGCTCCAAGTGGAAAGGTCACCTATATAGTTTAATGGATAGGTTCCGTAAGCACTCCTCTTTCCACTAACACTTCAATCAAGACAGTGATTGTCTCTCCCACACCTCGTTCCGTTCCCCTGGCATCCCATACTATTCTACTGCTCCTATTTGACTGGGGGTTGTAGACTCATCCCACCAGCACTCTTCTAATAGTAGCAATTCTCCATTGGGAGAATCAAGAGCAATGAGTGTGGTGGCTGTGCGCTGTTGAGTCAGTTCCGATACACAGCAACCTGATATTGGGTTTCCAAGGCTCTGCATCTTTACAGGAGCAGAAAGCTTCATCTTTCTCCCGCAGAGTGGCTGACGGACTCAAACTGCTGACCTTGTGATTAGCAGCCCAATGCATGACCCACTGCACCACCAGGACTCAAGAGCAGCATCACACCTATTTAAATCATTAATTTCTATAAGACAAGTACAATTAACAGTACCAGTGACAACTACTTAGATGTGTGCAATGTCCCGTCAAATAAAACAAGACACAGAATCATTTCAAGGGCCACACTGGTGTAGCCAGAGTCCCTGATGAGACTGCCACTAATGGCACTGAAACAGTCATTACTATAATCTGAAGAAGTCATGGTACCTGAGGCATGACCAATAGCCCAGAAGGGGGTTAACAGCTCTGATGATACTGTCATTCTTTCAAGAGTGGTCAATTTACTTAAGATAAATGGCCAACGTTTGGCAGAAGTTCTAAGTTTGGCATACAGTAGTACCTTTATAAGAAATATAGTTGTTTTTAACTTTGTAAGTGGTAGCAATTTTTTTTAACTGTCAGAAGGAGTTAGCACTGGGATGCTGCCTACGTTGATTCAAGAATCTTTACTTGGCAAGTATGCTCTGAATTGTATTGGGACTATCAGTCAATCTTGCTGGCAGACAGCCAAGGCTAGTGAGATGGAAACCTTTAACTTTTCAACAATGAGCATCATTTCCACCTTGAAAATTTTAGACATAGAAGAATCTTTTCTAATGCTTTATGAACATTCTCAATTCTCACACATATCAACTCCAGTTACACAGTTTTACATGAGAACATTCAATGCATGTTCAGGCTGACGTTGAAGGAAATTAAAACAAATCCCCAACAGCCAAAACATGACGTTAATCTTGAATATATCCCACCTGAACTTAAAGTCCACTTCAAGAACAGAGTTGATGCACTGAACACTAATGACCAAAGACCAGAGGACTTGTGGGATGGCATCAAGAACATCATATATGAAGAAAGCAACCTTATCCAGAGAAGCAGAAACACCAGAGATGGAGGCAGAGATGGGGACATGGAGAGAGGGAGCAGCTGAGAGGCTCTAGATTCATGGAAAGAGAGGGACTAAGAGACGGCAGCCAGGAGGCAGACTTGCACAATGTTCCTTTGGTGGTGTGTAAATTATTATATATGCCTGAGTGTTTAAAAAAAGAGAGCAAAAATGAATAGAGAGAAATACTGTTAACTGATGGTACATGGAGGGGACTATAATCATTGTAATGAAACAAGGTTATGATTTGTTGAATGTAAAACTGATGATTTGCCCTGTAAACTTTCACTCAATCCACAATAAAACCTTAAAAAAAATTTTTTTTAAAGGGAAAGCAAAAGGTCATTAAAAGGGAAAGAAAGAAAAGACCAAAGTGGATGTCAGAAGAAACTCTGAAGGCAGAATCGCTAAAGCAAATGGAAGAAATGATGAATTAAAAGAGCTGAACAGAAACTTTCAAAGGACAACTCCATAAGACAAAGATGCAAAGATCAGGGAGTTAGAAAACCAAAAGGGAAGAAAATGTTCAGCATTTCTGAAGCTGAAAGAAATGACAAAATTCAAGCCTCGAAATACAACTTTGAAGGATTCTACAGGTGGCGCTGTAGAATAAGTACTCAACCGAAATGTCTGTTTGAGCAGAAAGGTCAGCAGTTCAAGCTCACCAGCTGCTTCCTCAGAACCCCTATACAGGATTGCTATGTGTCAGAATTGACTCAGCAGCACTTAGCAACAACAGGCAAAATACTGAGTGACTTGGAAATCATCAAAAGAAGATGGAAGGAAAAAAAAAGATGGAAGGAATACAGAGTCACTTAAATAGAAAATGGTCAATGTTCAAACATTTCAAGAACTGACGGTATTAAAAGAAGTCCAAGATGCATTCACTAAAGGCATTAACGAAAAACAAGGTTCCAGAAATTGATGGAATACCAATTGAAATATTTCAACACACTTATGTGCCACTGGAAGCACTCACTTGTCTATACAAAGAAATTTGGAAGACAGCAACCTGGCCAGCCGCCTGGAAGAGATCCATATTTGTGCCTATTCCAAAGAGAGGTGACCCAACAGAACTGAAGAACTGTCGAATAATAGCATTTATTTCACATGCAAGTAACATTTTGCTGAAGATAATTTTTACAAGGTTGCTGCAGTACATCAACAGGGAGCTGCCAGAAATTCAAGTCAAGTCAGATTCAGAAGGTGATATGGAATGAGGAACAGTACTGCTGATGTTAGATGGACCTTGGTTGAAAGCAGAGAATACCAGAAAAATGTTTGTTGTTGTTATTGTTGTTGTTGTTAAGTGCCGTCGAGTCGGTTCCGACCCATAGCGACCCTGTACAGGGTTTCCGAGGGTGTAAATCCTTACGGGAGTAGAAAGCCTCATCTTTCTCCCACGGAGCAGCTGGTAGTTTCGAACCGCTGTTATTAAGTGCCGTTTATTTGTGCTTTACTGACTAAGCAAAGACTTAATTCAACTGTGTGGATCATAACAAACTGTGGGTAACATTAAGAAGAATGGGAATTCCAGAACACTGAATTGTGCTCAGCTCATGCGGAACCTGAACATAAGCCAAGAGGCAGACATTCAAACAGAACAAGGGGATACTGCCTAGTTGAAAATCGGGAAGGGTATGTATGCATCTTAGTTGCATCCTTTCACGATATTTATTCAATCTGTATGCTGAGCAAATCATCTGAGAAACTGGATTATATGAAGAATAATGTACTAGCATGGTTGTTATGTGCTGTGGAGTCGAGTCCAACTCATAGCGACCCTTTACAGGGTTTCCGAGGCTGTAAATCTTTATGGGAGCTGGAAGCCTCATCTTTCTCCCGCGGAACAGCTGGTAGTTTTGAACTGCTGTCCCTGAGGTTCACAGTCCGATTCATAACCACTATGCTACCTGCAATATGCACATGAAACAACCTTGCTTGCTGAACATGAGGAGGACTTGAAATACTGATGAAGATTAAAGACTATAGCCTTCAGTATGGATTATAACTCTGTGTAAAGAGAAGAAAAATCCTCATAACTGGACCAAACAAACATCATCATGATAAACACAAAAGATTGACCTTTTGAAGGATTTTGTTTTGCTTGGATCTACAATCAATGCTCATGGAAGCAGCACTCAAGAAAAGAAACAATGAAACACTAGACTGCCAGAAAAACAAGCAAATGGGTCTTAAGTACAGCCAGAAGACACCTTAGAAGTAAGGAAGGCCAGATTTCATCTCTTATACTTTGGAAGTGTTGTCAGAAGTGCTTGGTAGAGGGTGAGCAAAAAAGACCGCCAACAAGATGAATTGACACAGTGGCTGCAACTATGGGCTCAAACATAACAACTATGCAGATTGCACAGGCCTGGGAGTATTTTGTTCTGTTGTGCATATTTGCCCTCAAGTCGGTTCTGACTCAGCAACCCTGTATAGCATTTTCAAGGAATGGCTGGTGGGTTTGAGCCACCAACCTTGTGGTTGGAGGTCCAATGCTTATCCTACAGCACCACATCAGGACTCCTGTTGTGCACAGGCTCTTCTAAATCAGAACCGACTTGAGGTGACCTAACAGCAACATTCGAAAAATTCGTTTGCAAGTTTCTCACTCAAAAAATCACTCCGTTTTTTTTTCTCTTCACTGCAAGCTTTGCCCAAACTTTTCCAAGTGCCTTAAAAAAACAAAACAGGAAACAGACAAAAGATTTTTAACTCAGGTAATGTAGGATTTACAGGGTAGCTACCAGGAGTAGCTACAGATATTTTATCTCCTAGGCTGGAACCTCAGGGAGTATAGGGGGAAGGGGTCATTCAAGCAACAGGGATCAGCTGCAGCAGCAGGGAGGACGAAATGGGGGGTGGGGCATCAGTAAACACAACTTTTACTTCCTTTTGGTTTAAGTGACCCTCCATTTAGTCTTATCAAATGGACTTACAATAATAACAAGGCACCAATCTGGGGCTGGTTTCAATTTGATCTTTTGCTGCTTAGCCCTCCCAAAGCTTATCAATATACGCTATCTGGAGCCTGGTAAACCTATTTTATGCCCTAATCCAACCCTGGAAGCCCATTAATAGGTAGGACAGTGGGAGGAGCCTTACTTCTTTGCTCCTACCCACCACTTAGGTGAGGGCTGCACTGCCAAATCCTGGGGCATCCTTAACTCCTAATCTGGCCCTTACAATGCTACGTGCTACCAGATTCCAGGAAGTCTTATCGCTCCTATTTTAGCCCATGCAATCCCTCAGTGGAAGGACCCTATTCCCATCTCCCCCTTGCCTACCACTTTAGCTAAAACATTTAGTATGAGATTCTGGAGAACCTATCTTATCCTTTAATCTGACCCACCTGACCCCTTGCCTTCTAAAAAGGCATTGTAACTGAAGCTCATACCTCATCAGAACCTGGAGGCAATGAGAACAGTCTCCAGATGGCCTCCCAGGGGAAACAGTGAGGCAAGTGAGCTATAGCTTGAAGGTAGCAATTTACAAGCCACCCTTGCCTGTTCTGGAATGATGGCCTATGTGGACACATGCACGTTAACCAGGCCATCCTACAAGAATCTAAAAGTATTCTTGTCTAAACTCATCACAAGCTCATTTTTTCCTGTTACACACAGAAAGACATACAGTACCAGCATTCAAATACTCTTCAAGGTTGAAATTTGGCTATCATTTCTTACTCCTCCCCTCCTCTTGCCTTCTACATCCCAACTCCCTCAAAACTTGCCTTTTCTATTCCCATTGTCATGCTCTAGGAGTCTGGTGTGGTGCTGCAGGATAATGCACTAGACCATAAGGGCGGTTTGAACCACAAGGTTGACGGTTCAAACTCACCAGCTGCTCCTCAGAAATCCTTTATAGGGTCGATATGAGTCGGAACCGACTCAACAGTACTTAACAACCTTGTCACTCTCTTACAGAGTTTACTCCCTCTCATTGGGATCATGAAAGACCACTACTAACTCGTCTTTCAAAGTTTTGTCTCACTGTCTTCTATAGTCCATTTTATACCCTGCTGCAAGATTAATTTTTCTGAAGCACAGGTCTGGCAAGTCACAAATTACACAGATTACAAGTTCAAATACTGAGTCTCTCAGTCATATCCTGGTCCCAATCTACCTTTCCAAGCTCATTTCCTGCTTGGAGTCCTGGTGCGGTGCTGTAGGATAAGCATTGGACTGTTAACTAAAAGGTCAGCAGTTGAAACCCACCAGCCTCTCCTTCGAAACCCTATACAGGGTTGCTATGAGTCAGAACCGACTAGATGGCACTTAAGAACTTAAGAGTAAAAGACCTGTGTTTGAGTCCTGGCTCTGCTACTTACTAGCTATGTAATCTTGGACAAATCAATTAAGTTCTCTGATTCTGTTTCCTTTTCTGCAAAATGATAATAATATTACTACCATCACTGAGCATAGTGGCTACTAATCGGGCTGCGAACCGCAAGGTCAGCATTTGGAAACTACCAGCTGTTCCGTGGGAGAAAGATGAGGCTTTCTGCTCCCATAAAGATTTACAGCCACAGAAACCCTGTACAGGGTCGCTATGAGTCAATAACCGACTCCATGGTATATAACAACAACAAACCATTTACATCAAAGGGTAAAAGTTTAAAAAAAAACTATTTGTGAAAGCTTTTTAAACTAAGAACCAATCATTTTTACTATTTGTTAACTCCACATAGTCTTTACTATTTGGAAACTGAAATACTTCCTATTTTTCATGCCTTTCTTCATACATTTTTTTCTTTGCCTGGAATGTACCCCACACACACACTCATATCCACATGTCCCAATCCTTCAAATCTTCACCTCAAATGACACCTCTATAAAACCTTCTCTTCCCAATAAGCTGAAAGTCATCTCTCCTTACTCTGAGCTCCCAAGCACACCATGTATCTTTGCTACTATGTCATTTCCATTTTGTTGTTAGACAAAGCATAAGGATTCTGTAAATGTGTTTATGTTCCCTGCGAAAGGAGAGAATCTATGTAGTATTTACTACCACTATGGCTTTGCCCACAGTGAGTGCTCACCAACTGCTGACTGAAATAAGTGCCATAGAGTTGGCTCTGACTCATAGCAACCTTGTAGAGGGTTTCCAGGAGCAGCTGGTGGGTTTGAACTGCTGACCTTGTGGTTCACAGTCCAGTGCTGATCCTACAGCACCACACCAGGACTTCATTTACTGAATTGCTGTTGTTAAGTGCCGGTCGAGGTTTTCAATCTTTGTGGAAGCAGAAAGCCTCATCTTTCTCCCAAGAAGCAGCTGGACCTTGCGGCTCACAGTCCAGTTCTTACCCTACAGAGCCACCGTGCTCCCAATACATATACACACTCACACTTATATTGGATATCTTGAACTTAGTTTTTTTTTTTTTTTAAGTTAGTGCTTAAGACATAAATCACATACATATTCAAAATTATAAATGGAAAACCCTTTAAATCATGTATCTCCAAGCATCTCGTTATAGGCAGCCTAATCATCAAAGTTCTGGCTCACTCTTCAGCTCCTGCTGCTGCCCACCAACTTCCAGTTCAAGACAACTCTCACAACATGGCCACAGGAAATACCTAAGTTGGGACCAAAGCTCATGAAAATGGAGTCCTGATGGCGCTGTGAGATAAGCATTGGACTGCTTGCTGAGAGGTATGCAGCTCAATCTCTCATTGGGAGAAAGATGAGGCAAGTTTTACAGCCTTGAAATCCTATACGGGGTCATTATAAAGTCGGAATCAACTCAATGGCAGTGGGTTTCATTTGGGGCTCATGAAAGGGGTCCTGGTGATGCTGTGGGTTAAGCTGCTAACCGCAAAGTAGATGGGTCAAACCCACAAGCAGCTCTTTGGGAGAAAGATGAGGCTTTCTGCTCTCATAAAGATTTACAGCCTAGCAAACCTCACAAAGGGTCACAATGAGTCAGCACAGCCTCGATAGCAGTGCCTGGAAGGGGAACTTTGAATCTATATTCAAGATTTTGTTGTGTACTACGTTGCCCCAAGAATCAATCTCTCTCCCTTCTTTCCGTTGTGGAATCCGCATTTATAATGTATTATGTTCGCTGCTGTTTTGTGTCCAGGATCGCTGTTTCTTCTTGGCTTTTCACACTGCGCTTAGCACTCTACTGCAAAAGCCGGAGTACTTGGCTTCCAGGATCAACTAAAACCCTTGGGGGAAAAAACGGTTTAAAAGCAAACACCGGCGGCGCGAGAGCGGTTCGGTCCTCAGTATTCATTCCAGCGGTGTGAGGGCGCTCGTGGACCACGGACGCAGCCCTTCGCAGTCACTGGGAGCCAAATGCACTCGTGTCATCTCTTAAAGAGATGTCCCATCATCCCCAGAACTTTCTCGTCCCTAAAGTTAAAGAACTCCGTTTTCCAGACCTTTCCTCTCCGCCCTACCCCTTCCTTCCTCCCTCCACCAGGCTTCTCGGCCAGCTCAGCGCCCTGCCCTCCAAAGGTCCATCAGTCCCTGGGGAGCCCAGCTGCCTCGGGGCCCGGGGGTGGGGGAAGCGATGTTTGATGCATCGCGCCTTTTGATTATCCCAAAGTGCCCCGAACATCACCAACCCGAGGACTGGAAAAACCCCCAAGGGACCTCGAACTTTTTGGACACACCTTGTTCCTTCAGCTTTGTTCGCAAAACCTCACCCTTGGTGAAGTAGTGGAGCCCGCCTCAAGCCCGCGGAGCCAGGAGACTCCCGGGTCCCGACACCCCCGCCCCGGCCCGAGCCCCCAGCGTCCGGGCCACCACGTTGGCACAGCTGCCTCAGGCGCTCAGTGGCCGGGCCGCCCTCCCCACTCACCTAGCAGCTCCGCGATGGCACTGAAGGGTCGCGTGTGGCTGCTGGAGTTGCTCTGTAGGTAGCGGGGGCTCATCTGGGGGTGAGAGAAGGTCCCGTCCCGCGTGAGGCCTCCGACCGCCGGACCCTCCCCGCGCGCCCCCCGCAGCCCAGGGGCCCGCGTGCGCGCGCGACCGCCCCCTCAGCCCCCAACCTACCGTGCTCAGACGGATCCCAAAGGCCTGCGGGCCGCCGCCGGGTCGAGTGAGCCCGTAACCCGGTACGCCCGGGCCAGTGGGGGCCCCTCGGCACAGAAGCATTTTTTTGGCCGCCAGGGTACCCGTTTGCTGGCGCAGGGCTCCTCGCCCCGCCGTCCGCCCTCTCTGAACTCGCACTCGCAGCTGGCGGCGGCAGTCCGGGACGGGGCCTCCCTAGCTCCCACTCGCAGCTGGCGGAGGCGGGGCGTGCTCCAGCCACCTGTCCCGAGCGGGAGGGGTGAAGCCGGCGGAGCCGAGCGGGCGGCTCCGCCCTGTCAGCACCTCTCCTGACCCACTGACTGCCGGCCTGCCTGGGCGCCGTACGGAAATATGGCGGCCTCCTGACAACCGCCCCTTATCCCCGCCCCTCATTAATCCTTGGCGTCTGCCATAGGCCAGGCCGCCGAGCGGGAAAGCGGGGGGAGGGGGAGGGGGAGGAGACTGCGAGGGGAGAGGCGGGAGGCGGCGGGAATGAGACTGGAAGGAGGAGGGTGTAGGGATTTCTGAAACTGAATCCCAGCTAGGCTATATGACTAACGGGGCAGGATAAGACAAGTCTTTCAAGTTCTGAGCACTACAGTGTTTGCTATCTGGGAAGGTAGCCGACTCACGTGAGGACAAGACATTCGGACTATGCTGGCTCCGATGCCTCCAGTTGCACGCAGAATTTTCGAGGAGGCAATTAGCAAACCACCTCCAAAGACTTGCCACAGTGTGGAGAGGCTTTTTATAAAATGTAAAATTGGAATTCACTTAACTACTCCAGGATAGAGGATTGGTTAAATTAGGGAGACTCGATAAAGTGAAGTACCGTGCAGTTCTCTAAAAGCCGTGTTTGTAGATGAGCATTTTCTGAATGTGGAAAAATATTGATGAGGGAATTATGAAAAGAAAAAAGAGGTGGTTGTTCTCTGTTGCCATCAAGTCAATTCTGACTTGGAGACCTATGTGTGCAGAGTACAACTGCTCTACAGGGTTTTCAAGACTGAGATTTGGAAGCACCAGGCCTTTCTTGCCTTTTGGATAGTAGTCGGGAGAGTTTAACCATTTCTGCCATGATATAAAAAGTATGTTACCATTTTCCTGGTAAAACACTATCTCTCTCTCTCTCTCTCTCTCTCTCTCTCTCTCTCTCTCTCTCTCTCTCTCTCTTTCTCTCTATCTATCTATCTATCTATCTATCTA